GCTGGGTTTGAACGAGGTCCCAGTGGCTTCACCCTTTCACTCAGGGTGAAATGTTTTGAAATCACAGGGGTTTGGGTGCCATTTACACAGGAAGACAAAAAACACAACCGAGTGACAAACCTCAGCCTTTTCTGGGGACAGCAACTTGTTGGGCTGCCAAGACAGTGTTGTGGGGCCCAGCAGTGATGCAAATCAGTTCTGGAAAAAAAATCCAGATAATCAGAGCTCCTTCCCAAACCCCTCTATTTTTAACACAGCATTTTGCAAGTCTTGGCCCTGGTGTGACCAGTTGAATCATTGCTTAGTGAGAACAGGGATCAACGGTGTTGTTTCCATGACAAAGTGAGCCTCTTTTGGCAATGCCTACAGAACAATTTATCATTTCAAAGCTAACTTTTCAATATTGGAAGTCATAATAGAATTAGTAAAATGTGTGTAATTCAGCTTGAAGTGAGTGATCTCATCTACCTTGTGGATTAAACTCCTCTCTTGCATTATTTTAGAAACAACACTTAGGCAAAGGTTGAATCACACTCTAATTCATCTTTGTGTTGATGTAAAACCATGGCCATCATGAAGGATTTAATGAAGATTTGCTGTCATTGTTGTTGTTGATTCTTATCTGTCCTTCTTTACCCCTCTCATTGTCACAGTGCTGTGGCATATCCTGAATGGAGTAGGAATGTTCCCATTCACTCAAAAAAAAAAAAAAAAAAAAAAAAAATCAGGACTTTCCAGACTTAACACAAAAATGCAGAAGAGGAAAGAACAGCCAGTGGTACTGAATTGCCATATTTGATCTGGTTTTTATAGAAATGCCAAGTGAATTCCCATCTCACCATTCCATCATTACTAGGACTTCAAAGCTGATTTTTCTGATCCTGGACATTCTCAGGAATTCTGGGGACATCTAACTTCTGCAGATCTACTGAGTAAACTCATGTAGAAAAATCAAGTTTTATAGCAGTTGTGAATATTCTTACTGAGAACATCATGAGAAAAATGGTGGTTTTTGAATAAATGAATTGAGTCAAATTCAGGTTTTTTGGCTGGACTGTTCTGCACGGTTGGTGCATATATATAATTATATTAACCAAATTTATATTATGTAAATATATTAAAAAATATAATTATATATTCCAAATTTCTTGTAAATATGTAAGTTGTAATATAACACAATTGCTATTAATTTTACCATAATTTCAAGGGAACAGCAAAGAGTTAAGTACAGGAATTTGCACAAAGCACATACCAGTTCATATTTGTGGTGGCCACCTTAATAAAAACCACAAAAAGAAAAGGAAAGCTCTGAATTTGTTGTACTTCTATAGTGTCCTGCCAGCTTCTTGTGTTCTCTCAGAACCAAACAGATATTGACTGTCTTTTACTGTCTTCCTATCTAAATGAATACACACATTTTCTAAACTGATGTGAGTCAGAATCTTTCACTTCATTGAGAATAATAAATTTTTCAAAGACCTGTGAATTTCATGCACTATCGACTTGGATTCTTGATTTTTTCTAGTATGTGTCAAAACACTCTTTAACTGCACATATCACTGATCTCTTCTGGGAGACTGAAACCAGTCTGTCTCTTCTGAGCACAGGAAATTGCAAATGTCCTCGAGGCAGAAGAAATGGGATCATGAGCCTGGAGTTCAAGCTCTCACTGCCATTGGAGTGGGGCTCTGCCTTCAGTTGTTGAAGCAGACTTGGCAGATTAAAGGCTCTACCACTCCATGGTCCATGGAGAAACATCAAAGCCCTGGATCCTTTCAGGAAGACTTGATAATATTAAAGCATTCAACAGACAAACCTTTTGTTATGAACAATTCAAGCCCTTTTGATTTTCCCAGATAGGGAATTGCTTGTTAGCAGGGATGACAAGCGGCTCCTATTCTCTCCTTTGACACTCAGGTTGATGCTTCCTCATTTTCTTTGCTTTCTGTTATGGTTTCCATGTTCCCCAAATTTTTTTTATTCTTTTCAATCTGTTGATGAAGTGCAACGAAATGGCACAGAGATGGTGATGGGAAGCCACAAGGGAATATTGTGGCAACAGTGAAAGCTTGAGGAAAGCTGCAGGGACAGGTGAAGCACGTGGCTCTGGTGCTCTCTGTGTCCACACCTGAGCCTCCTAAGCCAGACTTACTGAGCTACAGTTGACTAAATTTCATCAGTTTAGTCAGAGATATCTGCCTAGATGTGTCAGTCTGCACGGAGAGCAGTGAAAGTCTGAGCTTTCAACCTTTGGCTTTCTTGGCAATCAGTCAAGTCCTGACTTTGATACCCCCCTAGAAGAAAAAAAAAAAAAAAAAAAAAAAAAAGTAAGGATAAATCACACTCTTTCAGCTTTTCACTGTGGATTGAATCTAAATTTTATTATCAAATGTCTCTGAGGACAGGGGCATGGTGGGTTTCTTAATATTCTAGAACAGAGTCATAGAATAGTTTGGGTTGGAAGGGACCTTAGAGCCCATCCAATTCCAGCCCCTGCCATGGGCAGGGACACCTTCCACTGTCCCAGGCTGCTCCAAGCCCTGTCCAACCTGGCCTTGGACACTTCCAGGGGCAGCCTGAAATAACCTGTTCTAGTGTCTCACCTCCATCATTTGATGGACTTTGAATAAATGTAGGCATCTATGTTGTGGCATTTAACATCCACAATGTCAAGCTGAAGAGTTCTGCAAGTTAACAGTAAGTGTGTGAAGAAATATTTCCTTTTGTTTAGTCATATCCTGCTTTCACAGACAATGCATTTTAGTATTATTATTATTATTATTATTATTATTATTATTATTATTGATAATTATAATAATGAGGACAGTATTATTACTAAATGACAGCTTTTCTAATCTGTACCTGGTGAACTGTACAGAAACTGCCTCGTGTGTGTATTGAGACAAGCCCTGGACACTCCTCTCAGGCCTGGGCAACTGTGGAGAGTGAACCTGCACTAACAGCACAACTCTGTTTTTCTTGCTATTTCCATTTTATCTTTTCTAAAATATATTCTAAGAACTTGAATGTCAGCCAATGCAATTTTCTCTATCTTAGGGGATGATGTGGCAAAAGCCCTTATGTTCTTGGGAGATCCTAGAGATTTGTGACAATTTATCTTTTCCAGGCACTTGGGAGCCCTTAGAACAGAAGTGTGGTTTATTTTTGAAAACAAACAAATCGAATATGGTTTTGTCTGGTGTGTCCCCCCGGGGAAAAATAGCTGAAATTTATTATTGGGTCTTGGAGATGATGAAACTGTGCACTGCATTATGAGTTCCTACAAATGGTGAGGAAAGCTTTCCAGGAGAGTTCATCAGGAAACCCTCTCTTGAAATAGCAGTGGTGGCTTTTAACATTTACAAACAAAAGCGTGCAGATGGTTCAGAGCATCATCACACGAACAAAAGCACAACACAAGCACCATCAAACTGGATTATTACAGACTCACTGAATGGTGTGAGTTAGAAAACCTTACAGATAAATCTCATTCCACCCCCTGCCATGGGCAGGGACACCTTCCACTGTCCCAGGTTGCTCCAAGCCCTGTCCAGCCTGGCCTTGGACACTTCCAGGGATCCAGGGGCAGCCACAGCTTCTCTGGGCACCCTGTGCCAGGGTCCCAGCACCCCCACAGGGAACAATTCCTTCCTAAGCCTTGATCTGAATCTCCCCTCTTTCATTTTGAAACCATTCCTCCTTGTCCTGTCACCATCTGCCTGGCTAGAAGTTTCTCTCCCTCTTTCTTATAATCCACTTTAGCTGCTGGAAGGATTTCACCTGCCTTGGGATTTCCTCTCAGGTTTTGTTGGTTGGTGCATCCCTGATCCAAACTGTTCACTCCATTCCCTGGGACGTGAGGGGAGAAAAGTTGAACTCTGCAGATGGGGCTCCAAAATAACCCCAAAAGAGGAGATTAAATTTGAATGTTTCTTTCACTGTTTGCTTGTCCCTGCTTAGCAGATAAGGGGAAGCAGGTCACACACCACTGTCCTCTGGTTTTCCACTGTCAAGAGTGAAGGAAACGAGGTGGGAAATAAAATAAAAGCAACGCTCCAGTGAACCACCTTCAGCCAGGGCACTGATTTTCATTTCCCACTGGGTGGGATTTCAACCTCAGCCGTGCCCCTATAAAGTGATCCCATGAAATCTGAGGTTTTATTGTCTTTGGATTGATATTCCCTGGCCACTGTCTGCTATAGGAATGAAATCCTGTGTTGATTTCCAGAAATGGGTCACATCTTTATTTTGATGCTGCTTTGGGATTTCATGGATTGTGTTGGCTGCAATGGTCTTCTCATAAACTAAATTTTTTTATTCCCTTCCCCCCCCGCTTTACTTTTTTCTTGTAGTGGGCTGCACTAGAGAGTAAAAGATAGAAAATAGGAAAAAAAAAGAAACTATTTGGATCGAGTCAGCCTGGTTAATTTGACATTTTATTATTTTTGGCAAAAGAATTTGCCCTGAATTCTCTGGAAATTAATAAAGGTAACACCGAGGAATGAACAGGGTGACAGAATAAGAAAAACAGCTTTTAATTTGATTTAGATTCCAGAGAGATTTAAATGAATTGTGCAAAGAATTCTCATAAGAAACTGGTGGAAGATCAAACCAAGCCTAAATTTATTCCTACATTTTCTTTAAATTATTTCTGTACTTAGAGATACTCTTGTTCAGCTTTATGTGAAGGAAGAATTCAATAAAATAAAACAAACATGTTCGAAATCACATTTTGACAGGGAGAACAATATAAAACCCCCAAATAAGTTGTGAGAGTTTTAATTACTTAATTCAACCTTAGAATTGCTAGAAGAAAAAAAGAGGAGTAAAAGTAAAGAAAAGAAGGAAAGAAAATGAAATGTGTTACAGTTTTTTCTCAATTTTAAGTGATATTTTTCTTCTTTTTTTTCCTTGTAATGGGATCTTAAAACTTACTGACACTTCCTGATCACCTCACTAACTATTTTATATTTTTTCCCCCATTTTTCTCCATATTTCAGGTTGCAGCAACCCATTCCAACTGCATCATTAAAAAGGAGCAGGAGACTTGTCTGGAGAAGATCCGGAGGGCGACGGCCCTGAACCCTCTCAATGATTCTTCTCCAGGTGAGTTTCAGATCCTGCACGTTGAGCTGACAACTCCAAGTGGTTTTTTTCACCATTTCCTGTGATGCCTGGAGGGGTTTTCAGCTCTGTCAAAGCAAACACTTCATGGTAAGAGGAGCATCACTGCTGCTGAATGAGCTTGGGAAAATAAAATTCAATCAGTGGGGGGTGCATAAGAACCATTCCTGGTTATTGTCAGAGGTCAGGAATTTGTTTCTTTAATGATCTGCAAAACTAATAGCAATAATAATTTTTTTAAAAAGTAAATTAAAGGATGCCTGGATGATTTTTTCCTGGATGACAACAGCTTTCAACAGCTTTGGGGACAGGATGTGACACAAAGTGCTGCTCTGGAGCAGCTCGTTTTCCTTCCTCATCTCAGCAATAATTTGTGTATCTCTCACATGATCTGAAGCCCTTTACAGGCATTCACGTTGTGGTGTCTGTAATCTCGATGAAGGATACTTGTGCTGTTGCTGAGATAAGAAACTGAGGCAGCAAGAAAAGAAATTTATAGTTTAATATCCTGTCGTATTTCCTCCTGACTGCAGCAGGAGCTGCCTGTGGCCAGCACCAAGGAAAGAAGGGCAGGGAATGACAAAGAAACTAATTGGAAATCAGGGTCCATTTACTGAGTCCTGTCCAAACTGCTTCTGCTGTGACTGGAATTGATAAAACCACAGAGAAAAGCTGATAAAACACATTGTGTGTGATAAAAAGGGGAGGCTCTTTTCCCTTTTCTCTTTTCTTTTCTTTTCTTTTCTTTTATTTTCTTTTTTCTTTTCTTTTCTTTTCTTTTCTTTTCTTTTCTTTTCTTTTCTTTTCTTTTCTTTTCTTTTCTTTTCTTTTCTTTTCCCCTTTTTCTTGCAGTGCATTTTAGTGCTGAAGCAGGTGTCTGTGTTGCCAGTGTCCCCCAAAGCCTCCCAGTCCTGAATTTTAGCTGCCAGGAGTGTTTCCATCAGAGAGGAGAGTTTCCATCAGGGTCCTGCTGTTCACCTCATGCATAAATTCATTTCTGTTCTGCTGCCCAGCTCTGGGCAGATGAACTGTGGGGTGTGGTGGAAGTGAGGAAAGCTCAGTGTGCTCGGGCAGTTCATTTCATCCTCATGGATGTGGTTTTGAGACCCTTTTCGTGCTTTACAGAAAAGCTTCCCAATTTTTCCCTGGTCCAGAAGTGGCATGAGCAATAAAAAAAAGGAGAAAAAGCCTTTTTCTTGTCTCCTACCTCCAGAATGGTGCCAGGAGCTGATCATGAGACCTATTCCTTATGCTTATGCAATGGCTATTGTTTGGATTCAGGAACTCACAGAACTCCCCAGGTGAGCAGAGACCATTTCACCAGCCAGCTTTTATTTCTTTATCACCCAAATCCAGAATAACCCTGGCAGCTGGGGACTATTCACACTGAACTCGTCCCCCCGCCCTGCTCCAAATGGAGAGGACACAGCCCAGAGTCAGAGGGAGCCCAGAGCCACTGGAAAGGTTTTTATATCTCAGTGTGATGGAATTGGATCACCCACTCGGGCACGAAGGGACTGGATCCTTTCAGGCTCTCCGAGCAGAGCCCAGCTGCTCCCTGTTCTGTTCCCTGTTCTGCTCCCCCAGTGCTTGCAGGCTGAATCACTGGGAAGATTTTCCCCGGCTCATTGAGCATCTTTTAGTTGTTCCCCACATCCTGTGGCAACGAGTTCCACAGCTGATGTGGCTTAGAGTAAAAAAAAAACAACAACATATCTCCTCCCAGAGATTAATCTTACACTGAAGGAGTCGAGTGTATTTCTTGCTTGAAAGCCCTTTCATTCCATGGATCCTGCTTGCTGGCTTTTTTCTCTGTATTTCCTTTTTTAAAAATTTTTGTTTTAGATTTTTTTTTTGTAGACATATTTTAAATTTATTTCATTTCACCTCTGTGACTATAGCATTTCACTCCACTTCCTGACCTCGAGACTCACCTTTCATTATTTCATGATACTTATTTTAATCCAGATCCTGCCACCCTCATTCCCAACAAAGCTTTCCTTAAAGGATGGGATATCAACAAGATTCTACCACCTCCTTACTGGTTGAATTTTTGGGAGATGTTTCACTACAAAACTCCCTGAATTTGCAGTAACTCTCCAGAAATTAAGCAGTCATAAACGCAGGGTATTGATTCCTCTTGAATTTCTCGTGCTGCACACAAACTATTTTTTATTTGGGAAAAGTAAAAATCACCCCGTATAATTTTTTTATATTCAGCACCAAGACTTACTAATGATGGCAGTTAATGAAGAAATGTTATCAGCTTGTTTCTCTCAAAGAAAGAGAAAGATAGGGAATAACTCCCTTGCTTGTCAGAAACAGCTGAGAGAAGGAAGAAATCCCTCCTGACTGGTGAATAAAATTCTGCTTATGCAGAAGAGAACCACACAATTACTTCTTTGACTATTCCTGCATGAAAATTCCCATAGAAAAATTCAATGTATATTTTTTTTATTATACATTCAATATATACATTTTCTATATTCAATATATGTAATTTTTTTTTTTTTTTTTTTTTTTTTTTTTTGCCTCGGTGGGGCTGCAAGGTCTGAAATGGGATCATGAGCTTTTAGGAAGCCTCTGGGGGCTTGTGAACGTGGTCAAGTTACTGTGACTTAAAAGAAAAATCCACTTTTTATGGCAGGTGGCACAAAGAGGGTCACATACAGAACCTGGGTGTGGGACATGAACAGTCAGTGTATTCTGTATTTCTGCAGTATCCAGAACAATATTATAAAATATTGGGGTTCATGAATCCATCTCCAAGGTTCCCATCCGTGGTGCAAAATGTGAAAATGTTAAAGTAGATTCTCTGCTGTTGTTTACAGAGCTTGTTTTCTGCTCTGCTAATTCTCTGCATGGGAAGCCCCATCCTTGGGTGGCAAGAGAGGAAGAACTGATGGGTTCCTACATTTTGCAGGAATTCAGCTCTGCTGCCTTTGCTTTACCCCCTTGCTGTGTTCAGTGAACACAAACTTGCACCAAATGGGATTTCTGATGTTTCCTCCTTTCTCTCCCACTCCACCTCTCATGCCCAGATGTTCTGCTCATTACTTCTTTATTCTTCACAGCACTGATTTCTCTCCTTCTGCTGCTGGGCCATGCCTTTAAAGCTCAGAGGCAATGATTGCCTTGAGATTTTCTGTTTGGTTTATTTTTTTTTTCCATTAGTTTTATGGTGGATTCTTCCTCTTAAATGCTTTAAATTCTTTAAAAAACTTTATATGAGAAGAAATCGGGGGCATGTGCTGACCCTATGTGTCTGTTCCCGTTCAGTCATCACTTACAGCCTGAATGGAAAAGAGAATTTGAAGGAAATGAAATCTCAGCAGGACCCAGAATGTGACTCCCTTGCTCTGGAGAAGGAATTAAACTGATAAAGGGGAGTAATGAAAGCCAAAGGCAGACAAGAGAGGAAGGAGAGCAGTGATTACTTCATACTCAACTTCCCCAGGCAGTGGTGCCAGGCTATTTCTTCCATCAGTGTTTCCAATATCCTTTGTTTGAGTTTTTATCCCTGTCCTACTGTGGAGCTGCCCCAGTTTGTGCTGGACCCTCTTCTAGCTCTCAGCAGCCCAGCAGGTATTTTCTGCCAGATCAGAATTGATAAATCTCCCTGCTGAGCCACAAGCACCCCTTTTTATTTTTATTTCTCCCATCCAGATTTTTCTGACCTGTTCCTAACCCTGGGGCTAGGAAAGAGTGACACAGGAGTTACTCAGATATTAATGACAGTTCCCTGGGTTATGTGCATTTAGCAGGGGATTTATCTAATTAAATGTTGATACCTGCAATTGCATTTGCACTGCAAATGAGCAAGTCACCTTCCTCAGTTTGTAGCTCTGGATGTCTACCAAGCAGAGCCTGAGACATAATTTATTTCATCCTCAGCTTAGATTAGGTGATGTCTGTTTTTTCTCTCTGGACACATGGAATAAAGGGTGACCATGTCAGCTCTAAATAATCACTTTTAGGTATCTGCATTTGATCAGACAAACACCACCTTTAGCTTCTGTATTTGTTATTTTGACTAGGTCATGCTGGAGGTCTGGATTACCCCAAAAATCTGAATTGTGGTGGAAAGAACCCTGCTGATGAAATGGTGAACTGTAGATTGGCATGAAATACTTTTGCCACCCTGTTCCCTGTCTTGCTTGGCACTGTTGGAACCAGATATTCCAGACCTGTCCCTTGAATTTGACTCTTTCTGAAATGGTGGGAGAGTTCCTTGAGTGATTTGCAGATTTGTGTCTACAATTCAGTGTTCAAAGTGCTGAAAATGCACTAACCTGGAAGGAGCCAAAGTGTGACAAAAGTGAACTCGGCACGAGAATTTGAATGGAAGAAGTGATGAGGTGGTTCATGACTCACTGTCAAATCAATGTTTAACTTGCAGCCCTTGTTTTCCAGTCCCACTCCCCCTGTCCTTCCTCTGAAAAATGTTGAGAGGAAGCAACATTCCCCATCATGTCAAGGAATTGGAGGGAAATAAGGATTTGAAGGGATGTGATGATTCCTGCAAGGAATCACATCGAATCCCTGGTAAAAGTCACCCTGTAAATCAACAGGAAAGAAACTGGTAAGGGCACCATGGGGGTAGGAGATGGTAATTAGGAGGCAATGTGGTGATGCAAGGAGAGATTTTGAATTATGTTTCCATCACAGGAAGATGATGGAGCAGGATGATTTTTTTTTTCGGTTTCACATTTTTTATTGAGTGTTTCATCAGCCTCTCGTTCTCTCAGACCCTTTGAATTATCTGCTGTTATTTCCCCTGGCACCACTGGGAAGACATTACTTCACTGTGTCTCCCTTATTGAGGCAGCTGTGCCCAAGAACAACAGGACTAGGATTGAATCCAAGCTAATGAATTCCTAGAGCTGGAAGGGCATAGACAAGAAAATGTCTCTACACCTGAAACTTTTCTCTGTTCCTCCTTTTAAAGTACAGACCTAGATAGCTTTGATCTCTATGGATAC